TAGTTTTGTATTTCTTTTCTTTTTTTATTTTTAACATATAGCTCATGTACATTTCTTGAAGACCTTGTTCCTAGATATTTTATAGTTTGGGTAGTTCTTTGAAACACATCTTATAACTTTATTCACTTAACTTAGATCTGTTCTACTGAAATGTGATGATTCCATTCGGTTGGACAAATATATACACATATAATTAACCACTTACAATTGTCAAACTTTTATTTTTCTTGTCGTACTGCTTTGGCTCGAACTTCCAGGGCAATTTAACATAATACCAGTTGTATCAGGCAACCTTGTCTCATGTTGGAATACCGTGGAATTACCTCTACTTGTGTTTAAATATTAAAAATGATTTTGCTTTTCATTTAAGGTAGATAAGTTTTATCATGTGAAGGAACTTTTTTTCCCCCTATTTCTAGAGGCCAATGGTTTTATTAGGAATGGATACTGGATTTTGTAAATGCCTTTGTGCACATCTATGTAGAACAGGGGTCAAAAACTCACATTCCAAGGGCCTAATCTGGGTGGCCTGTTTATGCATGTCCTGTGAGCTAGAAGTGACTCTTGTAAATTATTGTAAGTAAAACAAAATGAAATATCCCTATGATAGGAAATAAAGGTTGTATAAGGTGCATAAAAACATAAAATTTTTATTATCTGGACCTTCACATAGCAGACTTTGTAATACTCAGCCTAAATAATCATATTAATCATTAATTATCTCATATTAATTATCTCTCTTTTTTTTTGGTACTGGGAGTGGAACCCAGGGGTGCTTAACCCCTGAGCCCTGTCCCCAGCCCTTTTTATATTTTATTTAGAGACAGGGTCTCACTGAGTTGCTTAGGGCCTCGCTAGGTTGCTGAGGCTGGCCTCCAACTTGGGATCCTCCTTCCTCAGCCTCCAGAGCCCCTGGGATGACAGGCGGGCGACCCCACGCCTGACTTTCCTTGCTTTTTTGTTTGGTCCCAACTGTCATTTACTGTCTCAGGCATCATCAACGTGCCACTGTCACCTCAGATGATCTTTGACACTTCATTCTAAAGAGGCTGTTTGCACGGGGCGATCTCTGCATCTGTTCAAATAAAGGCAGATTTTGCAAGTGGGGGGGTCTGTTGGGGAGTCGCAAGGCGGGTCACAGAATGACAATTCTCTGGAGTGGGGGTTTTGAAGGTCCTTCCACTCCCCCCCCCCACACCTCCCAGCGCCCTCTGGACGATGTCACTGTCATTGTGACCTGATGAATTTTGCAGTCTCTTGGGGGCTGGGGGGGTGGGGGAGGGAGGGAAAGAGGGAACAGGTTCACTTAAAATGCCACCAAGTTGGCGGCTCTTCCTGAGAGTCAGCCTTTTTTTCTCCCTTGATTAACCCCTCTTCAGATGGCTGCGAGCTTTTTGGTTAATTTCCAGAGTTCTGAAATGTTGATTCTGACAGTTTTTAGTGTTTTTTTTTCTTTTCTTTTTTTGATGGTTTTCTCGATGCTTCTGTGGAGGAGATGATTATTGGAGGTCCTGGCTCAGGCGTGTCACCTGATGCCACCTCTCTGAGCCACTTGGCTCTTCGAAATAGGATGGGGGGTCCCCATTCCAAGGGGCCGCGGGTCAGCCGCTGGTGCAGACACAGGGGGTGGGGGTGGGGTGGGAGGGACCTGTATTATTTGTCCCCCTTATTGTCCTTTCCAGGCCCGAGAGCTCTCTGTCTTTCGGTGACAGGACAAAAAACCTAGCTCCCTGGGGGGACCCAAAGCCAGGGAAAACCTAACCCTCATTTCCCCATTTCCCATAATGAGGGGTGCCCTGGGAAGACCCCCCCCCCTTCTGCAGAGCCTGTTCCCATCTGGAGCCTGGGGGGGCGGGGGGGGGTGTCCTGTGGCTTTGGCCAATTAGCTGGCTCCGTTTTCTGTCCCTGGTCTGCAGCCTCCCTGTCACCCTCATGTCCCGCACAGCTGGGTAGCAGAATAATGAGTTTATTAAGTGCATCCTGCTTCTTCTCCACCCCCCCCCCCGACCCCCAGGACGCCCCGTCTATCAGGACAGAGGAAAATCGGCCACCAGCCACCCTGCGGAGGGTCCTCAACGCTGGCCACCCGGGTTAGACCCCATCCGACTCGATGACCTTGGGATGACCGTCGTGTGCCACTGTGCCTATCCTTGTCCAGCAAGACCTTATTCTGCCATGACCCACTATTCTCCAGGACACTGTAGGTCCCCAAAATGCCTGGACTCCATCTTCAACACCGTCCCATCAAGACACAAGCCGGGCCCTTCGAATAAATGAATTAATTCACTCTAAAATTATTGTAATAGCTGGGCACAGTGGTGTACGCCTGTCATCTCAGCGGCTCGGGAGGCTGAGATAGGAGGATCTGAAGTTGGAGGCCAGCCTCTGCAATTTTGCAAAGCCCTAAGCAACGTGTCAAAATAAGAAACTAAAAATGGTTGGGGATGTGGGTTAGGGTGGAGCACCCTGGGTTCAATCCCTAGTACCAAAAAAAAAAAAATTGGGGGGCGGATAATGCGTGTGGCTTATAGGCCAACATGACACCATTGTATATAAGAGATGTGAGCATTCATGCATTTCCAAATCCTAGGGGGGTCCGGGGAGGAGCGTGGATGGAACGTGAGACTACTAGGTTAAGCGAAATAAGCCAAGCTCGGAAGGTCCTGTGTTTTTTCTCCCATGTGTGGAAGGTGGGAGTGGAATCTCATGAAAATCAAAGGGAGATTATTAGAGGACAGGACGGGGGGATGGAGGAAAGGGAAGGAGAGGGTGAAATTCTAGGGAATGACATTGGCCAAATTATATTATGTTTGAAATCCGAAAATACTGCAAGCCCCCACCCAGAAAAAGTGTGGAGAATAAAAATGACGAGGACATAAACCACACACGCCTTTGTCAGGATGTGCGTCTCCCTGTCTAGTTATTTTCGAGTGTGTGCGTGTCATCTTAACAAGTGAAATGTCCCTGGTGAGGTTCTCCAAGCATCTCGTCTCCTTCCTTCTTGGCAGAAATCACCCTCCTGAACTTGGCATTTCTCATTTCCACGCCTATCTTTCTTATTTTAATACAGGAATTTTCATATCTCTAAATAACAGAGTATTGTCTTGCATGGCTTAAGATTTCACAAAGGATGGCGATGTGACCCTACGGAAAATCCTGCTGGGTTGTGGAATGAAGGTATCAATAACTCTCCTTGGGTATCGCCAACGGGGGTGGCACCAATTTGTATGCTTCCCCGCAGTGGGAATTCCGATCTCTCTCTATGATCACCAACAATGGGTACTTCCAGACTTCTAAATGGCAGAAAAAAATAAAAAAGTCTGGTCCACAATAGGTGCTTAATAAATATGCATTGAATTAAGTGAAGTCCTTTGGTTTACTCCTTGATTAAGATCCACACGGAGCATCTTTCCATATGTTGACTGGGACGCCCACTTGACTCTCCTGGGACATTCTCATTTATACCTTTTCTCACGCTTTTTGTTGGGTTGTTTGACATTTTTTTTTTTCTGATTTATGGCATTTCTTTACATATTCCGAATAATCATCTTTTGTCAGTTATGTGCAGAACAAATATCCTTCCCACTTTGCTGCTCAGTTTTGCATGGTGAATGATGTGGCTTTTTGTCTTAGAGACATCTTACATTTGAAGGTATTCAATGTTCTCAATCTTTCCTTTTTCTATTTTATGATTTTCTGTCTTATGCAATGAATGTTTCCCATGTGAACTCATAAAGATATTTTCCTATTTTTTTTCTATAAGCCTTAGGACTTTTCTTTACCATTTAAATCTGAATTGCACCTGCTTTTTTTTTTCTTTTTTGATATTGTATAATTTGAATTATGGGTTTTATTTTTTTTCCCACGGGGATAAACAGCTCAGTTTCCTGATCACATTTCCCTAAGGATTTAAAGTGATTTTTTTTTCTTCTCTCTGTATTTCAGTCTGTATTTTGGGCTTTTTATGTTCTGGCTCTTTGGTTTATTTTTCTTGCTGAGACAAGACTTTCACTATTTTAGTCACTAGACTTTGTAGCCAATCTTAATAGCTATTTGGACGAGTCTATTCTATAGCTTCCCCCCCACACACACACACACCATATTCATCCACATACATTTTAGGATTAGTTTGTCATGTTCTAATAAAATTCAATTTTGGGATTTGGTTGAGATTAAATTCAATGGGCAGCTCAATTTGAGACAATTGTCATTTTTATGACAGCAAATCTTCTCCCCACCCATGAACATGGCTTATCTGGATAATTTACACTTGGTCTTCTTTTTATGTTTTCCAATAAAGTCTGATCATTTTCTGGGCAACGATTATTTACCTCTTTTGTTAGATTTCTCCCCTACAGACATATTGTTATTATTCCTGGGATCTTTTGAGAATGAAACATCTTGCTTGTTGCTTAGCATAGGAATACACTTTAAAAATATATTTTGATCTTGCAACCAGAAACTAAAAGTCTTAATTAATTGCATTAGGTTGTTTATCGATTCTTTAGGAATCTGAGTGAAAAAAAAAATCTTATAACTTGTGAATAGAGAATGTTTTCATTTCTTCATTCCCAACCTAGATGCATTCATTTTTTTTTCTTGTCTTATTGCACAAGCTGAGACTTTTAGCACAGCACCGAGTAGATGTGGTGATAGTGGGTGTGTAAATCTATTATGGAGATGAGTATCTGGGATGAGTCTGCCCTTTGTGGAGATTTTTTTTCCTTCTTAGAAGTAAATGAAAACCACCTAAATGAGAAAAAGCCAAGGCTCTCTAATCTGAGCTTGCATTCATTTATTTTTTTCTTGTCTTATTGCACAGGCTAAGACTTTTAGCACAGCACCGAGTAGATGTGGTGATAGTGGGAGTCCGTCATTGTCACTTGCCCTGTGATAGAGGAGGGGGAGGACCTCATTGTGGAAGAAAGATCAGGAGCTCCTTGAGAAGCTGCAGTGGAACATCCTGTAGAATTGTAGGACACGCGTCTGGCTTGCTCTGGTTAATCCTAAATGGGAAATAGGGGCAAAAATCAGGGAAGCTCTCAGTTATTAATCAAGTTCAGTCCATTGGGGGCTGATGTCACGGGGGTTATTGTTTGGCTTCCTAGACTGGTTTCTAGAGAAAGGGGTCTGACTTCCTGTAAGTGATTGACAGAGGGCAGGCTGGCATCTTGGGATGGCTTTTGTGGGATGGTTGTGGCAGATTGTGGTCAGAATTCTATTTTCTGTTTAAACTGGGGACTGAACCCAGGGGTGCTGAATCACTGAGCCCCCCCGTCTCCAGCCCTTTTTATATTTTATTTAGAGGCAGGGTCTGGCTGAGTTGCTTAGGGCCTCACTAAGTGGCTGAGGCTGGCCTCCAACTTGCGATCCTCCTGCCTCAGCCTCCTGAGTGGCTGGGATGACAGGCAGAGCCCTATTTTGATCATGACCCTGGGCATTGTCTCTTTGCTTATTCAATCTCTCACCTGGGAGGAGGTTCCCAGGTTCAACACAGGTTGTCCAAGGTCAAGCCTCTTGCTTGTGCAAAATCTGAGCCTCTCAAATGTCACAGGGTCTGCTCCTTTAGGTTTGGGCTGGTTTTCAGTTTTCCTTTGGTTTCTGGATCTTATAATTCTCTTTACTCTTTTTTTTTTTAAAAACCAGTCCTCTGCCTATGAAGGGATATTTGTTATATTTTATCAACTAATTTTTTCCCCAGGTTTATCTACTCTGCCAAGTTGCCGGTTCCAAAAGTCTCCCAGCATCTTTTAAAATGGGAAGTAGTTTTTTTTTTTTAAATTCATTTTTCCCTGAAAAAAACATTCATTAACTGTGTCTCGCAGAGGGTCCTCGCTGGCAGCTCTGTGCAGGTTCTGGCCCTCGATCACATTTTTTGTTGTTGTTGTTGTTCAAAATGAAGCTGCAAATGGTTTGTTAAAATTCCAATATGAAACGCTTTACATAGAGAATCCTCTGCGTTCCCCAGAGAGTCAACATTTGGGGTCGATTGCTTGCAGAAACAACCCCAGTTGTCCCCTCTCCAGATTCTTGTACTTGGGTCACATGAAGCCAAGTCTCCCATGAGATGCACGATCCGGGTCTCCCCCACCCCCACCCCAGATTTCAGAAGTTGCTGAGGCTGGCCTCTAACTTGCGATCCTCCTGCCTCAGCCTCCCAAGACGCTGGGATGACAGGCGTGTGCCACCCCACTTGGTTCTTGATCCAGGTCTGATGCTTCTTTGCTGTGTGAAGGGAAGTCTCACCTCATCTCACCTTGGAATCTGGTTTTTCCTCATCTAATGACAAAGAGGGTCAGGATGAGTTGGAGGTCAGACAGGACAAGGGCTAGATGGGTGACCTGTGTTCTGAGGTCTTCTCCAGCTCAAGGGTGGACAGGGCATTTCTGCTGGAGATGAGTTGGATGATGTTTAAAACCATTTCTTGGGACCAAGAAAAAAAAAAAAAGAGAGCTCATTGGATCTGGGTGCAGTGCCCAACCCTGGCACCAGGGGGCGCCAGTGTTCTCTGAACCACGTGGCCAAGAGGAGGGGTGAGAAGGAGGCTGGGCAGGTGACCCCCCCTATCTCCACCATCTGCCTCCAGGGGAAAGACCAGCCCTCCTGGCCTTGGGCTCTACCTTCAGCCTCCTTGCAGGCTTCACCCAGCCCTGCATATGTCCAAGCCAGGTCCTTACAGTCTCCCTCCATGGAGAAACTGTGGGACAAAGGAGAAGAGCAAGACTTTGGAGTCCAACCTGCCCCACCCTTGAAGGTTCCCCTGTGTTAATATCTAACACTCCAGTAGTGACTGTAGCCAACACCCATGTGGCTGGCCCTATGCGTAGACCCGGCTCCCCAATCTGTGTTGCCTGAGACGAGAAACATTCCTTTGCCCAGTGTATCCACACTGTATATGCTACCCACCCGTTAGTTACTTCGTAGCCATCTTGACTTTCAGATGGACCGTTGCCTGTATCCCAGCTGCTTGTGTTCAAGGGACCCTTATTTACTTAACCAGGGTGTAGAGTTGCAACCATGTTATAGCTGAGTTGTGGAATGTGCTCACTGGGGGGGGGGGGAGGCGCCCGCATATCATTCCCTTGTTCTGAGAAAGTCTCTACCCCGCAGATCTGGTGGATGTTTTGGAAAGATGTCACAGGGGCCGGCTCTGTGTCTTTGGGCACTTCTCTTTGCTCCCTGGTCCTCCCTTCCTAGGACTGTTCAGAGTGCATCCCCTGGCTCTTACCTGGGGTACAGTCTCCACCGCAGTCCTCCCTTTCTAAAGAGCCAGCCTCCCTTCTAAGTCCTTTCTCCCAAAAAGGGGGTCCCTTCTCCAGTTGCCCCCGGGGTGGAGGCTGATTCGCTGAGGATGCACAGGCTGCGGGTGGCTGGAGAGTGTTTCCTCCCTCAAGCTCTGAGCAGTCAGGGAATGCTCCAGGATTGGCGTGAGGATCCTGCCTTATGGTGGCTGGTTCCAGGATCTAGCAAAGGGCTCCATTGTCTCTGCTTTCCACAGGAAAAAACAGCAGAGCTGTCAGGGCAACACGCTTCTGCGTTCCTTGATGGCCAGTCCCAGAAGGAAGACGTGGGTTATGGGAGGAGAAGGAGGATGGGGAGGGAGGAGGCAGAGAGGCTGAAAGGCTGGGAGTGAAGCCCCCCGGAGGGAGGCTGGGAGAGCCAGCCCCGAGAACCCGTGCCCAGACTGGCTTTCACTGCCTGCGGAATAATTTTATGTTTGAAAACAACACCTGGATCCTCGTGCCAAGACAAGCCACAGAGAAGGTTTACAACAAAAGCCAAAAGTCCCCTGGAGGCTGTCCCTTGCCACACTGGACTCCCCCCTCTCTGAGTGAAGAGGCTCTTAAAAAAAATTTCTGTTCTTAAAAGTCACGGCTTTTAAGCAAAATGCACACACACACATACACACACACACGTATATATAATTGTTTAAAAAGTTAATGGGGCCTGAGCACGATGGCACACGCCTGTCATCCCAGTGACTCGGGAGGCTGAGGCAGGAGGATCGCAAGTTGGAGGCCAGCCTCAGCCACTTAGCGAGGCCCTAAGCAGCTCAGCGAGACCCTGTCTCTAAATAAAATATAAAAAGGGCTGGAGATGGGGCTCAGGGGGTTGAGTGCCCCTGGGTTCCATCCCCAGGACCAGAGAGAGAGAGAGAGAGAGAGAGAGAGAGAGAGAGAGGACAGAGGGGAGGAGCCAGGGACAAGCCCCCAAGGGTATGCCCCGGGTCACCTACTTCCTCCAGCCACATCCCACTCAGTAATGCATTCAAATCATATTAATCCATCAAATGGATTTGTGTATTAATGAGGTGACCCTGTCCTCGAAATCTAATCATCTCACCTCTGAACGATCCTGTATCATCTGTCACAGAGCCCCCCGTGACCCCACTCATGGACGACAAATGTCACCTCTAACCCTCGCTGCATTGAGAACACTGTTTCCAGCACATGAGCTTTTTGGGGACATCACAGATCCAAATCCAGGAAGCTGATGCATTGTGCCTTTGTCACATCTAGGTACAAATGATTTCTTTGCTCCTGGCTCATCCATCTACGAAGACTTCCTGGTGCTTAACTTTAAAATTCAGCCCCATGTCCAAGAATACCCTGGGTCAGCTCAGGAGTGAACTGGAAGGAGTCCCCAGTGCCCACCTTTGGCGGGAGGGTGGGGACGGAAGGGAGGGTTGTACTGTTTTAAGTCTGGAAGTGCAAAGGGTGACCTTGGAGACGGTGCTGAGTGTCTGGACCCTGGGGCTCACTGGACGTCAGTCTCAACTCAGAAACCAGAAGAGGAACTGCTCCCGTGCATTCTGTTATCCACCCAAGGGCTCACCCATCCACTCATGGGCCTGTTCACCAACCATCCTCCCTCCCTCCCTCCCTCCATCCACCCATTGGTCCATCCATTGTCCATCCATCCATCCATTCACCCATTGATCCATCCATCTAACCTCCATTTATCCATCCATCCACCCATCCATCCATCCACCCATTGGTCCATCTGTCCATTCATCCATTGTGCATCCATCCATCCATCTAACCCTCCATCTATCCACTCATCCATCCATCCATGATCCATCCATCTGTCCATTCATCCACCCATCCATCCATCATCATCCATCATCATCCATCTATCTGTCTACCCATCTGTCCATCCATCAGCCCATCCACATCTCTATCATCATCCATCCATCTATCCATCCATCCATCCATTGGTCCATCGGTCCATCCATCCATTGTGCATCCATCCATCCATCCATCCATCTGTCCGTCTGTCCATCCCTCCATCCATCTACCCACACATCCATCCATCTGTCCATCCATCCATCTGTCCATCTGTCCATCCATCCATCCATCCATCCATCCGTCTACCCATGCATCCATCCATCTGTCCATCCATCCATCCATCCATCTGTCCATTCATCCATCCATCCACTTCTCCTATCCATCCATCCATGCATCATCCATCCATTCATCCATCTGTCTGTCCATCCATCCACCCACCCATCCATCCACCCATCCACCCACATATCCATCCATCCATCTGTCCATCTGTCAGTCCATCCACATCATCCATCATCATCCACCCATCCACTCATCCATCCATCTATCCATCCATCCCTCCATATATCTATCCATCCGCCCACCCATCTGTCTGTCCATCCATCCATCCATCCATTCATCTGTCCATCCACTCACACTCATACACACTATCACGCTCACACTCACACACGCACTTTCATGCTCACACTCACACACACACTCACACACACACACTCACAATACTCACACACACTCGTACTCACACACACCCACACTCACAGCCACACCCACACCCACACACTTACAATACTCACACACAATATTCACACACACACTCACACCCACCTTACAAGCACACACCCACACTCACATTCACACACCCACACCCACACTCACGTACACATATTCACACTCACACTCACATGCATTTGCACTCACACATACACTCTCACAGACACACACACTCACACATACTCACACCCACACTCACTCACACATACTCATACCCACACTCACACACACTCACTCACACTCATACACACACACACACACACACTCTCACACACATGCACTCACACACACATGTACACTCACACACACCCACACACAGTCTCACTCTCACACTCACACACTCACACCCCGTCATATGGGGCAGAGACAGCCATTCCTAATATCACATTTTATATCTTTCTGTCATTTTCTTCGCACATAAGCAGATAATTTTCTGTTTTAAAAACATGTTTTTGGGCGGGGTTGGGGCTCAGGGGTAGAGCACTCTCCTCTCACGTGTGAGACCCTGGGCTCCATCCTCAGCACCACGTAAAAATAAATCAACAAAATAAAGATAAAAAAAGACTTTTAAAAAAATAAAAACATGTTTTCTACTTTTCAACAAAAAAAAGGAGAAAATCATGCCACCTTCATTTCCTTTAGGGAGGGACAGTGATCACCTAATCCCATCCACGGCGGTGGCTCTCCAGCACCAATCTCCCTGGCTGTCAACCGGGACGGCAGGACCGTGATCTGACCATCCTGTGTCCTTCTGGGGACATTTATTTTTCTCATGGTGCAACTGGTGCATGTTTATCGTAGAGAAATTTAAAAGTGGAAATAAGCCCAATTCAGGAAGAACCACCCCCCCAGGGGTGGCCAGTGTTTGTATGTCCCCCCAGAATCCTTTTTGGTTTTTTCCCACAGAAATTGCTTTTTTGGGAGTGCGTATTATTTTATCACTTGTCCTCTTCCCTTAAGAATGCCACCTGCGTCTACGAAGAACGCCGCTATTGGTGGCGGCATAGAATTCTAGGGTACAAAAATACAGGATTTCTATCACCAGTGACCACCTATTAGTTGACATTTGGGTTGTTATTTTTTTTTTCTTCTTTTCGGGACAAATGTCTATAAGAAGAAGAAGAAAAAGTGAGTCAAATTGGAAAATGAAATTACCCTCTAAAAACACCATCCAGCAAGAAAGCAGAAACGCCCCCTAGTCCACCTTCTTGCTCAAGTCGGATACAATAATGGTAATAATATCGACCCGGTCTTCTCAGTGCAAATGGTTGCTTGGTGCTTGAATTTGCGAGTACTTGAATATTAATGAGGCTGAACATTTTTTCCTAATGCCTTTTGATATTTGCATTTCTTACATTGAAAATGCATCCTGCCATGTCCCACCTACACGGGGGGCGTGACTTCCCACTCCTGTGGCTGGACCTGCTGTGGGGTGTCCCTGGTCGTGGGTTCCTATGTGAACATGGGAAAGTGACGTCCATTCACTCCCCTGTCCCTCCCAGTCCCCGCCCCTCCCTTCCCTTCACTCCCCTGCGTCTCATCCAATGCCACTTCTATCCCCTGCCCCCATTATTGTGGGTGAGCATCTGCCTATCAGAGAGGACACTCAGCCTTTGGTTGGTTTTGGGGGACTGGCTTGTTTCACTCAGCACGATCGTCTCCAGCTCCATCCATTTACCTGCAAATGCCATCATTCCATCCTTCTTTAAGGCTGGGTGATATTCCATTGATATTCCAAGATGCCGAGATGGAACTGTGTCATGTTGCCCTGGAACATCGTGTGCACTCTCGGCTTTCTCTCCACGCGCCCCGTTCTGTTCTGTGGGTGTCCTTGCTTTATGTCAACAGTGCTCTTTCAAATGTCATAGTTTTTAATTTTTTAAAAAAAATTTTTGGTATCAGGGATTGAACCCAGAGGTGCTTAACCCCTGAGCCCCGTCCCCAGCCCTTTTTTAATATTTTATTTAGAGACAGGGTCTTGTTGAGTGGCTCAGGGCCTTGCTAAGTGGCTGAGGCTGGCCTCCACCTTACAATCCTCCTGCCTCAGCCTCCAGAGCCTCTGGGATGACAGGTGTGCGCCATTGCCCCTGAAAATTTAGATATTTGAATGGTTAATTATTAGATGGGTTTCACCCAGGGATATCACAAGGGGGGGGGGCACGTGTTTGGTTGGTAATTTTCAAGGCATCTGTCTCCACACACACATGTGCACAACAACACACACTGAATGTCATGAATAATATATTCAGAAGCAAAAGAGCAAGAAATACCCTTTTCCCTTTCTCTCCTCGGTCCATCAACGGTGTGTGAAATAAATTATGGTCCTCAATGAGTATTTCCACGAAACTCCCTCCGATTTCTAAGCGTCTTTTCTTTCTATAGTTAAATGCAGTGGAATTTGGTTCATAAAATTTCATGATTTTCCGGGGCTTTCCGTCCTGTGCGATGCTTTTAGTCTTCTGTGCTACTGATTCCGAAATGTGTGACCCATGTACCCCTGATGTTTCGCTCTGGTTTATTTTTATCTTTTATAATGTGGCTCTGGAAGGGTCTCTGGTGAGCGGTATTCCGTTGGACTTCGTTTGATGCGCCGTCAAAAGGGGCTGACTCTTGCATATTACGGTTATTGCAAAAATAATGAGCTCAAGGCTTAAGTTGCTGAAGCTGACCTCCAACTTGCGCCATCCTCCTGCCTCAGCCTCCTGAGGCCCTGGGATCCCAGGTGTGCGTGTGCCAGGCGTCTTTGTGCATTTGTGAGCATCTACGGACAGGGGTCCATGTCCACCCAGGTGCCTGGGGTGCGCCTCTGTGGGCAGAAGCACATCTGTACGCAGACGAGTGTCTCTGGGGGTGTTTTGGAGCCTGTCACCAGCATCTTTGGGACTGGATGTCCATGAGTGAGTGCGCCCCTGTATGTACAGCTATAGCGTCTCCCTGGGGTGCCCCTGGGTCTGGGCATCTGCCTGAGCTGGCACCTGTGTGACTTGGTGACCACACGTGAGCAGTCACGCCTGAGTGTCTGGGAGTGGCCCCCTGGGCAGATGCACATGTCCCGTGCCCCTTCCAGGTGTGCCCAGGCAGGGGACAGTGACCTCCCCACTGGGTGGGGCAGGGTAGATACCTGAAAGACCCCTCCGTCCTCTCATTGTCATCGAAATCCTGTGACATCAGGTGCAGGGTTGGAAAGCGGCCAGCTCCGAGCGACCCTTGAGCACGTTCTGTCACCAGGGCCACTTGCTGGGGTTAACGGATGGCAGAGAAAACCCATTAAGCGCCGGCTTCTCCCCGTCATCTGTTATCTGCGGGGACGGTCGCCCGGGTGACACACGCTCGCTCTTCTTCACATAATTGAAGGGACTTTTCCCATTATGCGCTGTCTCTGCGTGGCACTGGCCATCCCCGGTCCCCTCCCTGTCCCCTCCTGGTCCCCTCTCTCCTCCCGAAGGCCGACCTCATTTCCATTCTTGGTCCTTTTCTTCCAAAAGCGACCCCCGTAGGGTTTCTCTGGAAGCTTCTCTGGGCTGGTCCTGGAGGCACGGAGGCTGCTCTGTGTTTCTCAAAGGTACCCCAGCTGGCTGTCCCTGGCCCTGCCCTGCCACCTGCTGACCACCTGACCTTGGTGGATCCTGCAGCCCGTGAACTTGGGAGACTCCCAGGTGCAGGTGGCTAGGATTCTGGGGATGTTCCTGGTATTTTCCTCAGCTCCTCCTTGACCACTGGACCCTCTGTCCCTCCCTGGCCTTCAAGTTCCTGTGGTCACACCCCAGGCCTTTGTCACCTGTGGGCTCAGAACCATCACCAGGGTGTGCCCCCAATTCAGGTAACCAGCCCGGACCGGCTTTCTCCGGGCAGTGAGGTCTGTGTCCTGGAGGTCCTGGAGTCCACACAGCTGGGTGACCAGTGGCCAGGCGGTGACCAGTGGCCGGATAGTGACCAGTGGCTGGACGGTGACCAGTGGCCGGGCGGTGGCCAGTGGCCAGGCAGTGACCAGTGACCAGGTGGTGACCAGTGTCCGGGCGGTGACCAGGGGCCGGGTAGTGACCAGTTGGCCACACAGTGGCCAGTGGCCAGGCATGTGAAACACCCCTCCCAGGTCCCCAGGATCTTTGTGGCATTACAGAAGCGCTGGGGTGGAGCAGCCCACGGGGCTGGCCTCCAACTTGCGATCCTCCTGCCTCAGCCTCCCCAGCTGCTGGGACGGCTGGATCAGGAACAGCCTCCTCACCTGCTGTCCCCACCACGTGGCCACTCTGCTGCTGCTGCAGGTCCTGGACACCTGAGTCAGCCTCCAAGGGCATCCAGTGGCCGCCCCAGCCCAGTTCCCACCTGGCCCACACCCCAGGGACATCTGTGTGCCCTGTACCCCCCCCCCACGATGGGCTTCCCCTGGGACCTGACCCCTAAGGGCCACGTCAGCCTCTAACTAGGGAGGCAGGTAGGTTCAGGTTGTAGCAGGACAGCTGGGGTCAGGTGGCCGGTGGGGACTTCAGGCACACGGCTTCTCCTACTGGGGAGAGGGAGGAAGGAGGAGAGGGAGGGGGCGGGAGGGAGAGAGGGAGGACAGTCCCCTCACCAAGGACAAAATATGAACCTCAAGGGCAGGTCTCCACCAACCCGCCTCCTCCAGCCTTCTGCCTCTAAACTTTCTTTCTTTTTTGGTCCCAGGGATTGAACCCAGGGCCCCTCGACCCCTGAGCCCCGTCCCCAGCCCCTTTTTATATCTTATTTAGAGACAGGGTCTCTCTGAGCTGCTCAGGGCCTCACTGTTGCTGAGGCTGGCCTCCAACTTTTGATCCTCCTGCCTCAGCCTCCTCAGCAGCTGGGATGACAGGTGTGGCCACCGCACCTGGATCCCAATCAGAATTCTTTCTGCTTTTCCAAATACTCCAAACCCCGTGGGAAGAGCTCTGACGGATCAGAAGTGTCGCCGTGGGTACTGGATGTCAGCCTGCTGGTGCCCCAACCCCTCTCCATGGTGCACACCTGCACACAGGGAGCGTCTCCATACAAACAGGCAGGGGACAGTCTCTTGGGCCCACGTGCAGTACAGCACTCACACACATAGACATCGGGGCACCCACAGATGTCACAATCAGATGATGGTGGCAGTTTCCCCAGGGCCCAGCATGGCACTCCCAGAGGCTGGCAGATCCCCCCTCCCCAGGAGGCACCAGTATCTAGGAGGCTGTGGAGGCTCCAGGGGAGGCCCCCCGCAGTGTGGGCTGCTGGCCGTCCCCCCGCCCTGCACAGGCGCAGCCCAGGCGGCCCGCGCCCTGCAGGGGGGGACGTCAGCCAGCTGAGAGGGATCCTCCAAGTGACAGGTGCTTCTTAGCCCCAGGCGTGCCCCTGGCTGAAGCTGAATTGGAGCTGGAAGAGCCCCTGTTTCCTGGGCTAATTGGAGAAGGAGGAGGGGAGGGAGGGAGGGAGGGGAGGGAGGGAGGGAGGGGACCGGAGGGGGGGGACGCTCTATTCTGGGACCCAAAGCCACCAGGATCACTTATGAGGATAATGAGCCGGTGTGTGTGTGTGTGTGCAAGGAAGGACAGGCACAGAGACACGGGGACACAGGGACACAGAGACACAGAGAAACTCAGAGACACTCAGAGACACAGAGATATACAGAGACACTCAGAGACACAGAGAGACAGAGACACAGGGACACAGGGACACAGAGAAACTCAGAGACACAGAGACACACAGAGACACTCAGAGACACACAGAGACAGAGACCACAGAGACACAGGGACACAGAGACACAGAGATACTCAGAGACACACAGAGACACAGAGACATAGAGACACAGGGACTCAGTGACACAGAGACACAGAGAGACACACAGACACACAGAGACTTAGTGACACAGAGACACAGAGAGACACACAGACACACAGAGACACAGAGACTCAGTGACACAGACATAGAGAGACACACAGACACACAGAGACACAGAGACTCAGTGACACAGAGACACAAAGACACACAGAGAGACACAGAGACTCAGAGATACACAGAGACACAGAGATACACAGAGAAACAGAGAGACACAGAGAAACAGAGACACAGAGAGACACAGAGACATACAGAGACACAGAGATATAGAGACACAGAGACTCAGAGACTCAGAGACACACAGAGACTCAGAGATTCAGAGACTCAAAGAGACACAGAGACACAGAGACTCAGAGACACAGAGATACACAGAGACACAAAGAGACACAGAGACATACAGAGACACACAGAGACACAGAGACACGGTCTCGCTGAGATGCTTAGGGCCTCGCTAAATTGCTGAGTCCTGGCCTCCAACCTGCAATCCTCTTGCCTCAGCCTCCAGAGCTGCTGGGAGGACAGGCGTGCCTCACTGTGCCCGGCTCCCACACTCTTCATGGATGAGCCAGAAACCATTCTTGCTCCCTGGGAGGAGGGTCCCAAGAGCAGCCAGATGGCCATTCCTGTCTCATACTCCATGAGGGGGTCTGAGTGCTGCAGAAGGGAGGGGACCTGGAATTGACAGACAGAGCTGGGACCCGACCCGCCTGGGTCTGTCCTGGACCAGGGGCCTCCCAGCCACCTGAACGTCCCTCCCTCTCTTGGCTGATGGAGATCCTTGACCCTGGGAAGGGCAGAGCCAGACGCAGGGGAGAAGTCCCGTGTGGGCACGATGCCCGGCCCTGCCAAGAGCTACCGGTGGAGGCTCTAAGAAACCCCACAGCCGCCCCTTCCCCCCACGACTGTGCATGGACCCCTTTGTTGAGACCCTTCTCCCAGGGCAGGGCCACCCGCAGCTGCCATAGAGGCAGGAAGCGCCAACTCCATTCCCCTGGCCCAGGGAGGGCAGCGCTGGCGGACGGCAGCCCCGGGGCCTCCTCTCCTCACCCCTTGGCCTCTCTGCAGAGCGTCCCCAGCAAGGTCACCTTCCCAGGGCTGCTCCTGGGTATCCTGCCCAGCCAGGCCCCTGGACCACTGGTTGCTCAAATGAAATAAAGTTGGAAAAAATGGAGATCTGGGTTTGTCTGAGTCCCCCTTCTGAGAGCTCCAACGAAGTGTGCCTGTCATCCCAGGGCCTGGGAGGCTGAGGCAGGAGGATCGCAAGGTGGAGGCCAGCCTCAGCAACTTAGTGAGTCCCTAAGCAACTCAGTGTCTCTAAATAAAATACAAAAAAAAAAAAGAGCTGGGGATGGGGCTCAGTGATTAAGCACCCCTGGGTTCAATCCCCAGTCCCCCCCCCCAAAAAAAATAAATAGACGTTGGGACAAGAGTGTCACTCTGCCTGGCCAGGTGCCAGGAGTTGTGAAGGCAGATAGTGGCCTCAGCCTGGCACCCCCTCCTCCTTTCCTCCCTCTCTCTCACTGTACATTCCTAGCCAGGACTTTGGGGGCTCCTAAGAATACCCCCTGGGACCCTGGTTTTCTGACCTGTGAGACTTCTTAGCATCTAGAGTCGGTCAATATCAGTCCTTGGGAGACTCCCTTTTCCCTGCCGGCCCTCTCCCTGAGCCACTAGGGGGTGCTCTTGGGCTGAACCAGGGGTGGGAGGGATTCTGTGGCTTTATGCAAATGAGATGTAGATGAGGTGTGGGCTTTCTCTTCCCTTGGGGTGTGGCATCAAACGAGGAGGATGTGGGTGGGACAGAGAAACCAGGAAACCCAGTCACATCATCGCTGGGCTAATGGGGAAACTGAGGCCCAGACAGACGGCCTGCTCGGGTCCCCTACCACATGTGTGAAGTCCTCAAGAGAAGGATAATTGGGGCGGGAAGGAGGCTGTAGGTACCATGGGCGGAGCTGGAGCTGCCTACCTGCTGATGGACAGGTCTGCTAACAACTGTGATAGGGGGTGTGGGCCCTCACCAGCCATCCCAATGGGGTGATCCAGAAAGTTCTGGAATTCTGGGAGTCAATGGCTGAGGGCAGGTAGCAGGTGGGCATGCGCCCACAAGGGAGGGGAGCAGGTCACAGCAGAGGCCAGCTCATAGGACAGGATGAGGAAAGAGTTCTGGGGGGCCCCAGACCCATGTCACAGGAACCAGGAAGAGGAAGTTGGGGGCCAGTTCCCAAGACAGAGGGGCTGTGACCTGGAGAACCTGGCCTCAGAATGGGCAGCTGGGACTCAGAGTGGTCCAGGGCACCAGGTAAGGGGACATCATTTTTTTTTTCTTGGTACCCAGGATGGAACCCAGGGACACTTACCCACTGAGCCACATCCTCAGCCCTTTTTATTTTGAGACAGGGTCTCACTAAGTTGCTTAAGGCCTTGCTAAATGGCTGGGGCTGGTCTCCAGCTTTGGATCCTCCTGCCTCAGCCTCCCGAGCCGCTGGGATTTCAGGCGTGCCCCACCATGCCTGGCTGGTAAATCAGAATACAAAAAAGAAGTCAATGTGTCTTCTGTCACCGGCCAACGCCCCCTGTAGCATGTTTAATGACAAGTACTCTCATATACCGTAAATAGGAAAGTCATTGAAAATTAATTTCATAGCTGGCGCGGTAATCCCAGCGGCTCAGGAGGCTGAGGTAGGAGGATTGCACATTGGAGGCCAGCCTCAGCCACTTAGTGAGCCCCCTAGGCAACTCAGTGAGCCCCTGTCTCTAAATAAAATATAAAAAAGGGCTGAGGCTGTGGCTCAGTGGTTAAGCACCCCTGGGTTCCATCCCCAGTACTTACCCCCTCCCCCCAAAAATTAACAAAATTAATATTATGATTTCTCAGAAGCAGTGATTGCTAATAACAGTCAAGCATAATCGGAGAGGCCAGGACAAAGGTCACCGTGGTTTTCTAGTGATCGGTTCCACCTGTGCCCCTCTACAATTGATAACCGTTCTCGTGAAGAATAACTAATGCATATTTTTTAAAAACCAGCTATTAGGCAAAAAAAAAAATTGAAATCTTTCCCCGTTTACCATTAGTTGTAATGATTCTTTAATTCTGAGACCTCTTATCGGGCATTAAATGTTAAGAATTCAATCCCGGTCACAGCCTGGACCTATCAATTATTTGATCATGCATTTTATGGGACATGCAAGAGATAATGCCATTTTCCAGCTGACCTTTGGGTAAAGATTGGACATAGTTCAGTTCCCAAACGCGCTGTCTGTATACCGTCATTTCCATTTTAATTCTCGTTTGTGTAAATGCCGAGATTTATTCTTTTTTTTTTTTTTTTTTAATTTTTACTGCATTGCATTTGTATCACTTACAGGTTTAAATAGTCACCTATTTAGTTCTTATCACAACTCGATGACCAAGGGACTGTGATCCTCCTCATTTTATGGATAAGGAAACTAAAGCCTGGGAATTAGTTACCTGCTCCAAACAGGCAATTCTGAAGGATGGGGTGGGTCCCTTCCGATGGCTAAGCAGCTGGCTCCCCAAACTCCTGCTTTGAATTTCTGCCCCATCCTTGCACAAACCTTCCTTGAAGGCTGCTCCATACCCAGCCAGTCCTGACCTTGCTCTGGGGCAGCCAAGACCAGACGCTTGACCTTGAGATGGTCAGGGAAAGTCATTCAAGAGAATATCAGTGGGAGGGTATTTGAATCCCAGCCCAAGATCAGCTGGCTGATCTTGGCTGGCCCAGGAAGAGCAAGGCCCTCATTCCGGAGTGGGAAGGAGAGGGCAGGTAGCAGAGAGACGGATGGGGTCAGGAGGTTTGCCAATCAAAGAGGAATACGCAGTTTGGAGGCTGATAATCAGAAGTTGGAGGATGTATCAGCTAGCTTTGGCTGTGTAACAAGTGACCCCAAATCTTCCTGGCTTAAAATCACCACCATTCATCTAGCGCACCCTCCTGTTGTTGGCAATCTGGACGGGGTCACACATCTGGGGTCTCCACCATGACAGTGGGATCCTTTCTTATGGGATCTCAGCATCCAGCAGGCCACCCTGGGCTTCCTCACACTCTGGTTCCAGGGCTCCAAGGGTGAGACAGGAAGCATTCTGAACTTCTCAAGGTCTTGGGTCAGCACGCTGTGGCTTCTGGTACCTTCTATGAGCTAAAGATGCTTTTGGATGGCGGAAGCTGCAACATCATATTGCAAAGAGCATGGGTAGTTGGAGAGAGGGGTGGAGATTGGAGTCCCTTCTGCCTCGACCACGCAGATCATGCACGACTGGGAAAGTCAGCCAGAAGCGGAGACGGGAATTGCAGCTGATTCTGTTTAGTCTATGATTTTTGTTGGAAGTGTTCCTACGAGAGGAAGAAACAGAGGCAACTTTGGGGACCTGGGGTCCGGATTGGTTCTCTCCAAGCCAATGCTCAGTGCCTGCCTCTGGTCTCTGCTGACTCTTGGGTAGCCAAGAAGAGGACTGAGTGTTCCTACGGGGTCCACAATTAGATCATATTAGATCATCAGGGTGAAGCTCCTATCATTGACCTGGTGGATTTATAAGGAGGGCGACCACAGAGATCCACATGCATTTCTGCCACGGTGTAACGTAGTCAAGGGGGCCCTCGCCAGAGCCTGCAT